TAAGAGTTTAAGGGTGCTCTTCAGCGAGGAGGAGCTGAAGATGACTACCAAGGAGATTCAAGTTACTTGGCCTCTTTTGAGGGAGCCAGGGAGCTAAAAGAGAGGACCCCTTTAGGAAGACTCAAGAAGATGCAAACAACCCTGGTGGTTGGATGCAAATTTTCAAAGGACGGAGGTTTAAAAGACCTTGTGTCCATTAGCTGGGAGGGGATGAAGGGCAAAGAAAATGGGAGTCTCTTGTGGAGGAGGTAAAACTGGGGCTCAAGTCAGGTGGGCGGAACAAGAGCTCTTGAGGGAGACAACCTGCAGTAAGGCTTCACACCGCAGCCTAGGGGCAACCACGGTTGAGCGCTGTTGGGGCCGTTGGGTGCCGCGAGCTGGCGCCCCGCCCTCTTTCCTCTCCCCCACCCCCCCCGCACCTCCCACCACCCTTGTAGTGCCCTGCGCGTGCGCGCACAGACACCGGTTGCCAAACATTGCATCATCCCCGCCCCCCTTTCCTCCCCTCCCCCGCCAGCTCTCCCCTCCGCGCGCGCGCATGACTCACCTCCTCCGCGAAGCCTCGTGACCCAAAGCCACTTCCGGGTCCAACACTAAGTCGACCCCCAAGCGGGAGGGAGCGATGGGGGCGGTGCCTTGGGGGCTCCTGAGTGGCGGATGCAAGGTATGAGGCGGGGCCAATGCCGGCGTGCCGCTTTATGATTGGTAGGCTTCTGGATCCGCCCCCGGAGAGGAGGGCAAGGCCCTATTAAAAGATCTCAGCTCCGCGCTATCCGGGTCAGAGGCTTGAGTCTAAGGCGTAGGGTGTATCATGTTGAAGATGAGCGGGTGGCAGCGACAGAGCCAAAATCAGAGCCGGAACCTGAGGAGAGAGGCGAGTACTGATTCCCCCATCTACCTTTTACCCTCCCATCCTCGTGAACACCAGTTGTCCCCTTAAGGTTAGGGCATCCGCTCTTAAGGATGTGGTCCCACGCCCTCCGCAATGAAGTGAAGTGACCGTCCGGGGGAGGGATGAGAAGCCTTCATTCAGAAGTAGTGCTTACAGACCCCTCTTCCTTCGCACGACAGCAGCATCCCACCACTGCCCAGAGCATAGGCCTTACTTTGTGCTGTTCAGGGAAGGGGCCCCAGCTGCCCTAGGAAGATTTTTTCTCTCCCGTTGCAGACCCCAGGCCTCCTCGTTAGGCCTGCCGGGTGGGAGGCGGGGCAACAGGACACATCCCCGCGCCGAGAAGGCTGGTTGACAGTGGTTCAGGCCGCTGCCGCCACTTTGCCACTAGCGTCCTCCCCCACCCCACCCCCAATCCTGTCTCAGCCGCAGCGTCTCAGGGCCAGCATAGCCACGTCAATAGATGGGGCTTTTGGACCCTCCACAGGACATTCTTTCTGCACCCTTGCAGAGGAGAGAATCTTAAAAGAGACCGACACAAGCCTTTGGGAAGAGGGGTGTCGATGGACGGGGAGCAGAGATGAGTTTTCCTTTTCCCCAGAGGTCCCTAAGCTTTCTGCAGAAAAGAGCATCCTGGATCTTTTAAGTGTAGGAAGCCATTTGGAGGTCTCCCCAGTGGACTGTCCTTCCCCTGGGATTGGTTCTTGCCTCTTTCCCCTTGTCCTGTCTCCAGCTAATCTCTGTGTAACCATTGCATCAGGTCAGCCCCCTGCTTGGCTCTGCAGCCCTCTGGCCCGGGGCTCCACTGCTGATGAAAGCTATGTCCCACACACTGGAAAGCAAGGAGGGTTCCCCAGGGAGGACAGCCCTGTACAGAAGCACCGAGGACGATATTGCGTCTACAGTCCCCAGGGATAGGCAGCTGCTGCTCTGCCTCTGGACTTCGTCCTCCTTTCCCTATGAGAGATTGGGGAGATTTATCCATTGATTCCTAACAAATACTTAACCAGCACGTACTATGCTGCTTAAGTTTGGGGCCCAGCATTTATCCATGAAAAAGAGAGAAAAAAATCTCTCCTCTCACAGAGCTTACATTTCAGTGGGAAGAGGCATACAGTAAGCAAATATGTGCCATAGAAAAAAACTAAAGCATGGAAGGGTAGAGAATGCTGTGTGGAGGTTACAGTTTACACTGGGTGGTCAGGGATTCCCCCACTGAGGTGATATTTAAATGAAAGACCTAAAAATAGGCAAGGCAGTAAGCCATGTGGTATGTGGAAGGAAGAGCTTTCCAGGAGAAGGAATAGCAAGAGCAGAGGTCCTAAGGTGGGAGCATGCATAGTATCTTTAGGGAACAGGAGGCCAGTTGGCTGGACTAGAGTGAGCAAGACGGAGAGTGGTCAATGAGAAAAACAGAACAAGGAAAGAGCAGATTGTGGAGAGCCTTCTAAGCCATTTTAAGGACTTTAGCTTTTAATATGTGTGAAATGAGAAGGTTTTGAATAGAGGAATGACACAGCCTGACTTAAGTTTTTTTGTTTTTGTTTTTTTTTTTGCGGCACGCGGGCCTCTCACTGTTGTGGCCTCTCCTGTTGCGGAGCACAGGCTCCAGACGCGCAGGCTCAGTGGCCATGGCTCACGGGCCCAGCCGCTCCGCGGCACGTGGGATCTTCCTGGACCAGGGCACGAACCCGTGTCCCCTGCATCGGCAAGCAGACTCTCAACCACTGCGCCACCAGGGAAGCCCTTGATTTAAGTTTTAAAAGACTCACTTTGGGGGCTGTTGTGAATAGACTCTGGGAGGGGTTGCAGCAGAAACTGGGAGACCTGCAGTCAAGAGGTTTCTGCAGTCACCCGAGAGATGATAGTAACTTGATCTAGATTAGAAACAGCGGAATTGGTGAGACGTGTTTAGATTCTGGGGTTTTGAAGAATGACTCAAGAAGTTTTGCTGGTGGTTTGGATTGGATTGTGGGGTGTGAGAGGAGAGGAATCAAGGATGATACCAAGGTTTTTGGCTCAAGCAACTAAAGTTGCTGTATACCAAGATGGGAAAGACCTTGGAAGGAGAAGATTAGCAGGAGTTTGTCTTTGGACACGTTAAGTCTGAGATGCATATTAGATATCCAAAAAGAGAATGGCAAGTAAGCAGTTAAAGCTGGAGGTCCCAGGAGAGGTCTAGACTGGAAATACACATTTGGAGGATGTCAGTGTGGGAATGGAATTAGGAAAATGCCACTTGATTTTGTTCCCTTCCCTGTAGTCCAGTCCTTACCCTGGCAGATTTGAGGACTGCCTTAAATTTAGAGAAAGCTGAGTTGGCCAGGATTTTGCTATTATGTAATCAGGACTACAAATGTCAGCAACTAAAAATAAAGGAAGTCAGGCTCTTCTCTGTCCTTAGAAATGGCTACAGGGACCAATAACTAACTATACTCTATAAGACAAGAAGTAAGGAAGGAGCAGTAGGAAGCTGGAGATAAAAGAACCTGCCTCTCTCCCCGCTTCCAGAAATGGCTAACATTTATCTTTGATCCCCACAGTGTTCCAGAAGGAAGTGTATCTTCATACATCACCACACCTGAAAGCAGGTAAACTTAACCAACCCTTTCCCAAAACCAGCTCCTAAGAATTGCTGTTTAGGCCCCCTTTACTGGGACCCTAAGAAATTATGAAAACACCTAGAGAAGGTGGGAGAGGACAGTTTGAATCTGAGCAGGCTTTTGCTGTTAGGCCACATCCATCCTCCTGACCTGCCCCTAACAAGGTGACCAAATCACTATTCTTAGAGTATGTCCTAATTGAAAGCTGGCCCTGAGTGAGCAGTCAGGTGAGGTCTCACCACACCTCCGTCCCCAAGGTTAGACTGACCCAAGGACTGTTTGCCCAAGCTCCCCACACAGGAGGAGAAAGGAGCACAGATGGTGGACACAACCAGTGGAGTTCCCCAAGGGGGGGCCGAAGACTTTTACTAGGAACCCATAAGAATGCACATCCAGGCACTTGCTTCTTCATGTGCTGGGCAAAAGCAAAGACAGAATATCATTCTAGATCAGGGGTTGGTAAATTTTAAAGGGTCAGACAGTAAGTATTTTAGACGTGGAGGGCCACACAGAATAGTCTCTGTCACAACTATGCATCTCTGCTGTTGTCTCATGAAAACAGCCGTAAACAGTATGTAAATAAATGGATGTGGCTGTGTTCCAATAAACTTTTATCGACCAAAACAGGCAGCAGGCCAGTGTGCCAACCCGTAGACTGACGGCTTTGTGGAGCTTCTTCCCGCACCCACTATCCTGACTATGTCCTTTCCCAGAGCCTGATCCAGCCACAGAGATGGCAGCTGAGTCACTGCCTTTCTCCTTCGGGACACTGTCCAGCTGGGAGCTGGAAGCCTGGTATGAGGACTTGCAGGAGGTGCTGTCCTCAGATGAAAATGGGGGTACCTATGTCTCACCCCCTGGAAACGAGGAGGTAAGAATGCTAGGCCTAACGCTGGGCGGGGGACGGGGGGGACGGGGGCTGCCCGTCCCTTCTCAGCTAATTAACACCTACTCTGCCTTTCCTCATTCCTTTGAAGGAAGAACCAAAAACCTTCACCACTCTTGACCCCACCTCCCTGGCTTGGCTGACCGAGGAGCCAGGACGAGCAGCGGTCACGCGCACCTCCCAGAGCCCCAGCTCTCCGGATTCCAGTCAGAGCTCCCTGGCTCAGGAGGAAGAAGAGGAAGACCAAGAAAGACCCAGGAAACGGAAACACAGTGGCCAGTCCCCGGCACGGGCTGGAAAACAACGCATGAAGGTGAAAGAACAAGAGAACGAAAGAAAAATGGCACAGCTAGCTGAAGAGAACGAACGGCTCAAGCAGGAAATCGAGCGCCTGACCAGGGAAGTGGAGGCGACTCGCCGAGCCCTGATTGACCGGATGGTTAATGTGCACCAAGCATGAGCGGCTGGGACCAGCACTTCTCCCTCGGGCCACTTCCGACCCTTCCTGGAAGTATCTACTGACCACCTTCTCACCAGTGCCAACGATGGACCCCTTCCACCCCCATCTATTCAGTAGGGGGAAAACTTAGGGTAGATGACAGGAGAGGGTCTCGGCATGTATATAGAGATTGTACATTTATTTATTACTGTCCACATCCATTAAAGTGACTTTCTAGGAGCCAAGTTCTCACTTTCACTTTTTCTTCTTGCCTTTAGGGGTTTCAAGGGGTTTCCCCTCAGCTAGAGCCAACTGTTTCTTCAGATCCAAGAGTTTAGCCACCTCTGCAGCAACCTGGTTCTTGTCTGCCTTTTGTGCTTTCAATTCCCGGACAATGTTGCCCTAAGAGAAGAGGGGATGGGGGAATCACAACAGTGAGACCAGAAACGACCTATTTAGGATTCAGCTTTTCCAGCCTCCCATAGGGCTTAAGCTCCGTACCTGCTTGGTCACTTCATCCATCAGCACTTGTATCTGCTGTGGTCCAGCTGTTGTCATAGTCTCTACAGCTGCTGGCTTGGGGGATGCTTTTGCCTTGAGATCAACAACAGAGTTAGCACCTGCTACCATATACATCCCCCGACCTCAAGTTTTATATAACATCTCAGGGGGAAAGTGATTACCTTTAATGACAAGGACTCTTCTAGCTAAGACAGGAAAGAAAAATGAAGTGAGGAAGCAGCAGGGCCAATAGATGGAAAGAGGGATGAGTGAGGGCTACTGGAGGATACTAACTGTTGGTGGGTGAGGCACAGTCTTTAGCTTTCTCACCTGGCCCCCGCTGAAGCGCTGCCTCAGACTTTCAATCTGGTCATTTTCCAGTTTTTGGAACAAGGGACTGACCTGTGAAAAAAAGAATTCCAGGATCATTCACTGATTAGGTATAAACTCTACCAGACTATATAGAGGGCCTCTCCACCCCAACTTCGACATTTAGGAACTCAGTGGTCTAGAAAAAAAACTTTTATAGAGTGTAACACTGAGCAAATACCTGCTGATTTCAGTAAAGAATCCAGAAAAAGCATTCACTAGGGTCAAAAATTATTTAAACTATTTAATGATGCTAGGTTGATGCAAAAGCTTAGAGGTGTACATACTTTTATCCCCTTGTGTTGAGGAAGTGGTTACTTTGTATTCTCCCTGCCCCTTGGGTCCTGGCATGAAGGACAGTGAGGATACGTGAGCTACAGAAAACACTGGGCTTGTAAACCAATACTAAGGACTTTGTATTAGAAACAAGCCTAGTGAAGAGTGGGGATGAGTGGGGAAGCGGTTCGAATAGCTATGAGAGTCTCATGCCCAAAGTTAAGTTCTTCCCTGACCCTCCCCAGAGGCTGCTTGGCAAAAGCAGGAATTTTGAGAGAAGCTGGCTCTTTCAAATCTAGAGACCTACTGTGCCAATCTGGTGTCCTGCTGGTAAGGTGCACAGGAAGTTTGTGAGCAGGATGCTGCAGGCTGGAGGTGGGAGCTGCAGCTGGGCCTGGATGGTAGCACTAACCGTGGGCATGTAAGGCTGGAGCATGATGGACAGCAAGGCAGCTATATTCACTGCCAAGCCTGTCACTGTCCCTGCCCGCTGTCTGAGGAAGAAAAGATATTAGTCACGACCCCCAGGAGGACATAGCCTACCAGCCACTTTATTCCTAGAGCCAACCGTACCTCCTTACCTACCTGTCAGCCTCGCTGCCTTTAATCCGCTTCCAGGGCTCGTTCACCTGAATGTACTGGTTGCCATGGCGAGAGATGGTGAGGATACTGCGTAAGGCATCCCGGATCCTGGGAAGGAAGGATGCAGGCCAAGGTGTAAGGTTCTGGGGGGACCAGTATGGGGCTCTCAACATGCCAGCAGATCACTGAGTTGAGACAGAGGTGTAGCTACTTACCGAACCTTCTCTAGCAGCTGGTGATAATGCTGGAGCTCCAGGGTGACGTGGGCCAGCAGGCGCCGATCATCAGAGGTGAGCACCATCTCAGGCACAAAACCCCCAAAAAACTTAGACACAAACATCCCAGCTCTGGATGGGAGGAGGGAAGGAGAGGGGAGAGAAAAGAGAAGTTACTGCCCAGTCTCCTTAGAGAAATTTGACATGATTTTCATAATTCTGCATTTTCTCAGAACTGAAACCACCTGGCTCCCTCAAGCTGGAAGGCAAAACTTAACAAATTAATTCCTTATTCTCCCTCTCCCGTAAGAATATGAGTCTGCACATAACAGACGTTTTATATACAGATATCCCTTATATAAAGGGAACTAATAAAGTTAAGCAACCGTTTATTTTTAAGAAGTTAAAAACTCAGAATGATCACGTTGAAATATGCATTAATTGCTACCAAACAAATAAATCCTCTAGTAGGGACTATCTGTTCAATGTGGTTAATGAGCAAACCTGAAAGCGTGTGTAGCCATGGAGGATATTTCTTTAGGTTGCAGAGTAGCTGAGATAGGGACCAATAATGGAACGTGAGCCTGAAGTAACAAAACTGAAAAGTACAGCAGAAGTCTCCTACCCCTATGCTAAAATAACACCCTTCTTCAGCCAAACTTTGCAGTGGTCTGCAAGTGAACCTTTTTGCTAGGAAAGAACACATTTCCAATTCTACAAAGAACATTAATAAGAAAATAATTCACAAAAATTCACTTTGTGACCAACTCTGCTAAATCACATCTCTACAACTAACTTGCACCAAGCATACGTGGCCTACTAGCCCCACCCCAGGCTCATCTGCTGACTCTCACCCCTCACCAGGTCCCACCTGTTGATGAAGTTGCCCAGATTGTTAAGCAGCTCAGAATTATTCTTGAGCAACATGTCTGTCCAGGAGAAGGCACTGTCCTGACCCTCAGGCCGAATGTACAGCAGATAGAAGCGCCAGATGTCAGCAGGGATCCCTGTGTCCTGGGCCATGTCCCCAAACACTCCTACACCCCGGCTCTTAGAGAATTTCCCATCCTCGTAATTCAGGTATTCTGGACAGAGAAGGAGAATGAGAACCATCTGTTCAAATCATGTCCTTCCTCGTGGGATGAACTGGGAGATTGGGATTGACATATATACACTAATATGTATAAAACAACTAATAAGAACCTGCTGTATAAAAAAAAAAAATCATGTCCTTCCTCCCTGACCCACTAACTCTTCTTTCCTCTCCCTCAACCTCAGTTCTAGAGTAGCTGGCCTGCACAGAACTTGGGAGATCCTTCTTCTGCATTCTGGTCTTCTGTTTACTTCTACCCATTACAAAATTTAGCTTTGGACTTTTGCTCTCTTCAGGTTCTTGTTTCCTTTTTCTTTTTCTTTCTTTTTTTTTTTTTTTGCAGTACGCGGGCCTCTCACTGTTGTGGCCTCTCCTGTTGCGGAGCACAGGCTCCGGACACGCAGGCTCATAGGCCATGGCTCACGGGCCCAGCCGCTCCGCGGCACGTGGGATCCTCCTGGACCAGGGCACGGACCTGCGTCCCCTGCATCGCCAGGCGGACTCTCAACCACTGCGCCACCAGGGAAGCCCTTGTTTCCTTTTTCTGCATTGAGCTTCCATGTTCTAATTGTTTCCTATTCCATCTCAACTCCTAACTCAAGACCTAGCACCTCTCCAGGAGTTTCTTCCAAGTACTGTCTTGGCCCTCATTCCCTAAGAACATCCCCCTCTCCAATCTCCCAGGGTACCTGTAGCAATGAGGTGGCTGACCAAAGTGTAGTTGTCCTCAGCTCCTAGGGCTGAACAAGGAAAGACTAAGCCGTGGAAGGGAACATTGTCTTTGGCCATGAACTGATACAGGCTCACCTATGAATATAATTGGGAGACAGAGCTCCTGACATCCTCTTCAAAGGCCCAAGAAAGATCAGCTACCCACCCCTAACCACCCCCACTATACACGCACCCTCCCCAGGTCTTTGACAGGCTAACAAAGAACTGCTCACTTGTTCTGGGTTCTTCCACCATTTCTCCCATTGGTCTGTGTAGTTGGCTGTGATGGACAGGTAGCCAATGGTGGCATCAAACCAGACATAGAATACCTGGAGGGTCAGGAGGGAGGAGACACAGTAAGATGCAAGAACACTGGGAAAACCTTGCCAACCCAAAGCCTCAGACTGAATCAAGACACAATCAAGTCTGTTCTGCTGGCCCAGGGTTTCAATCCCAAGGCTGAATAATATGAGATATGAATAAAGCATAGCGTTTTTACCTTGTCCTCAAAACCTACTAAGGGCACAGGGGTTCCCCACTTGAGGTCTCGGGTTATGCAGCGTGGCTTGAGGCCATCCCGAAGCCAAGAACGAATGATGAACCGGGCGTTAGGTGTCCAGTCACTGCCAGGCAACGTCTTCTCCAACCACTCCTCCAGCGGCTTTCCCAACTGAGACAGCAGAGAAGCACAGAGAGCTGGTTTAGGACAGTTGCATGTGTGGTCACCATAAGGATAAATACGTACAACCATTTTGGAGTAGTTTGGTGATATATAATTAAAATTAAGGATTCATGACTTTGCCATAGCAATTCCACTTCTAGGGATTTTTTTCAACAGAAATATTCACATAAGTGTGTACAGATGTGTTTATAAAGAAGTGCACAGTTCACCGCAGCAAAAATTAAAACTAATTCACTTGGTTCCGTAGAATTTAAAGAAATATGGTATATCAACATAATGAAATACTTATAAGCCCTTTAAAAAGAGTGAGGAAGACCTATATGTATTGATATGTAAAGATTTCAGAAATACATTAAATAAACTGTTAAACAGTAACATACGATATAATCCTATTCATAAAAATAAAGAATAGTAATACACAGATTAACATAAGGCCAAAAAATTTTTGAGGAAAACTATATCTCAGTGCTTTATTCTCACATGAGATTAAGGGGAACATCCACTTTTACACCATGTATTTCATTCTGAACATTTTTTTTTTTGGCCGCACTGCGCGGCTTGTGGGATCCTAGTTCCCCGACCAGGGATCAAACCTGTGCCCCCTGCAGTGGAAGTGCAGAGTCCCAACCACTGGACCGCCAGGCAAGTCCCTCATTCTGAAATTTTAAAAACAAGCGTATATCACTTCTGTAAGCAGAAAAACAAAGATAAATCTTTTGTAAGGGATGGTTCATGTGATTCATCCACATAAATACTGTAGCATCCAAAACCTGACAACACACTCTACTGGTGAGGCTCTGGGCAAACAAGTGCACACACACACTACTGGGAGGAATGTAAAATGGAATAACACCTATTGAGAAAAATTTGGCAATAAACTACATATGCATTTCTCCTGGACACAGCAAGTGATCCCTTTTAAGGAATTTATCCTGAAGATACACTTCCCACAATACAAAAATACACATGCACAAGGTTAGTCACTGCAATAGTATTTTTAACTGCAAAATACTGGAAACTACCTAAATGGCAAACACAAGAAACTGGTTAAATAAACTATGGTACCCACAGGACTTCCCTGGTGGTCCAGTGGTTAAGACTCTGTGCTCTCAATGCAGGGGGCCCGGGTTCAATCGCTGGTCAGGGAACTAGATCCCTCATGCCACAACTAAAAAAAAAGATCCCACATGCCACAACTAAAGATTCTGCATGCCACAACTAAAGATCCCGCATGCCGCAACTAAGACCTGGTGCAAATAAATATTTTTAAAAAACAAAACAAAAAACCATGGTACCCACAAAAAATGGAGTACTATGCAGCTCTTTAAATAAAACAAACAAACAAGTCTGAGTAAGGAGGATCTCTATGATCTGATATGGAGTAATCCTGATATGGAGTCATTTCTAGAACATACTGTTAGACGGAAAAGACAAAATGCAAAAGAGTATATACAGTATGCTGTATTTTGTATAAGAGGAAATAACATACACACACACACACACACACACAGGCTTATCTTTACAAAAATAAAGACACTAAGACTAAATCGGAAAACAAAGCCAATCACCTACAGGAGATGGGAGAACAAGGTAGCCTGGACAGGAAAGGGAATAAGGGAATGACACTTCTCTGCGTATACCTTTTTGCATGGTTTTGATGTTTTAGAAGCATACTGATGTTCTACATTTTCAAAAAATTAAGTTAGTAAGTATGAGGAGAGAAAAAAGAACTAAAAGCAAATGAATCAAACTTGTTGGCTTACTTCAGTAACACAACCACACTAAAGGGGGAAAAAACTAAGCCAGGACAATTTTGAACTTATTTGATTATATACCCGCGCTTGCGGGGGAAGGGGCAGGACTGCCAATAAACCCTAAACTCATCTTAGTAGGTTTTTTGATAGTGGTATGGGTGAAGCAATTCTGAAATTTTTAGGTGTATTGTAGAATTGAGCAAATGAGTAAATAATGTTGTTGGGAGCCAGAGTACTTACTGTTTGGAAGAAGGGAAATAAAAATATGAGATGAGGGAAAGTGAGGAAGAACCCCATGGGGCTGGACTGGAATTTCAGGTGTCAGCGTGAGCCCAAAACAAATGCCTAACTCTCTGCTGGCAGGGCCTAGAAGCAAAGACACCCCAGTAGCAATGAGCACACTTAGATCTTGGTCTCTAACACCGTTACCTACTTAAAAAAAAAAACAGGGCTGGTAGAGAAATGGTTGAATCCCAGACTGGAACAAGATGAATCTAGAGTATCCTGCTATGCCAGAAAATAAGGAAGTGCTTAAAAATTGATGGGAGACCTCAGAAATACCCAGAGAAACAACCTTGAATAGGCTCCCACTGGCCAAATAAGGGACAATTCGAATATGAAAATTATTTAGGACAGGAATCAATTATAAACCATTGAAAAAAATTGGCATCCATGAGTTGACACTGATAATAAATGAGATAAATGAATGAAGGAGAAGGGTAAATGTGGAGGGAGTGGCAGAGTTGGCAAATCTTAACAAAAACTGGTTCAGGCAAGAATGATTAAATAAATGGACGCTAAATTTAGAGGGAACCTTTCAATGAAGAGCAAAGTACTTGCACGGTCTTAAAGTGTATTCCCACAGCCTGCTTATAAGCTGCAAAGGGGAAAATATTAATTGTACAGTGGAGAAGCTGGGTAACACCCTGACTGAGCAAAATTAACATCACCAATGAGGGGGAAATGGCCATGATGTGAAAGAACAAAGTATCATTTTGGAAAGAACAAAGTATCATCTGGAAAGAACTAAGTATCATTTATGTAGTATTCCAACTGAGGATGCATAACCTGAATCTAGCCATGAGGAAAACAGCCAACAAATCCAAAATAAATATTCGATTTTAAAAGGGGGAATCAGGGCCTATAATTATTAAAAACTGTTAATGTCATAAAAGATAAAGAAAGGCTGAGGAACTGTTTCAGATTAAGGGAAACTAAAGAGACAGAAAAACTAAATGCAATACATGATCCAGAGCCAGATTCTACACTACAGGAAAAATGATGCTAGGAAGGATATTAATGGAATAGTTGGCAAAACTGGAATATGGCTGGTAGATCACACAACTATATCAATGTTAAATTTCTTGAAGTTGTTAACCATACTGTGGTTATGCAGGAATATGTCTTTTTTCTTAGGAAACACACAAGGCAACGTTCAAGAGTAAAGAGGTTATATAAGTATACATGCATACATGTATGAGAGAGAGAATAAGCTAAACCAAATGGAGCAAAATCTTAACAGCCAGTGAATCTGGGTAATGGGTACATGAGGTTCTTCTGGGTAAAGAACATGAGGTTCTTTGTTCTAGCAACTGCTTATTCTTGCAACTCTTTTTGCAAGCTTGAAATTATTTCCAAATAAAAAGTTTAAAAGGAAAAAAAAAGCAGCAAATCCACTAAAGTGAAAAATTGGTTAAGACACATTGTGAAGTAAAAGAAAGAAAGTAGACTGAAGAATATGAATGCCATGATCTAATTTGTATTAAGGAGAAAAAAAAGGCATAAGAATACTTTCATATGCAAGTGCTACAAAGGAAAATCAGTAGTAAGTATCTCTTGGCAGATGGGCCTGGACCTTTCACTTTGTGCCCTTTTCCTGTTACATCTTTTTACCTTAAGCATGTTAAGTATAATTTTAAAATGGAAATTAAAAATATATGAGGGTGATTTGGTACAAATTTGCCTCTGCCTGTGGCTGAGGCAGAGGGGGCAGAGGAGGCCATGCAGACTGGCTTGAGGGAAAGGCCCACTCACCTTAGGCAGGTCCAGAAACAGGTGCCGAGAGGATTTCACCACAGGGCACGACCGGCAGACTTTACACTGAGGCTTCTGTGAAGGGAAAGTCAAGAGAAGGGGTGACCCAAGGTACGACAGTCAGGATCAGGCTGCATGCCAGGAGCTGTCCAGGCGAGGGGGGAGGCACAGAGAGATGAGGTCCCCCGTCTGGCACCGAGCTTAGCCTCACGCTCACACCCCGCCAACTCACGAACTACTTACTTGGGTCTTCTCTGAACCTGCAGACTCAGGTTTGCATAGCACAACATTTGCTACTCAGAGTTTCACATCTGTGTCCTTTCACTCCAAAGAATAGGAAAAAGCATTCTCTGAGCACAGGCTAGACCCAGAGCCCTGCACTGTACGTAGCTGTGTGAGGAGCAGAAAGAGCAACGAAGAGAAGACACACGGTTCCTCTCCTTGAGGAAGTTACAATCAATCAGGGAGAGAGGGCTTGCGTGAGAAACAAGCACAGGCTTTCACACGGCAAAATGTCAAGAAATACTCATTTTCATGGCACAACTTGACTATACAAACATTGAAGGATGATGGCGAAAGGAGTAAACAGGTGGAGCTAACCAATGAAAGCTTCTGAATGAGCTTTGATCTGGGTTTTTGAAGGTGAGAAATTATAACTCTCAGTACCTCTCTCCTGAACTCCACATGCCTCTATCAACTACCTACCTAACATCCCTCCTTGGATGTCTATGGAGGCACCTCAAACTTAACAAACCCAAATAGTATCACTGCATTCCACAGGAAAGCTCTTCTTCACCCAATCTTGCCTGTGTTCATAGACAGTACTACCATCCGCCCAAGCTGCTCAAGCTAAAAGCATACAAGTCGTCATTCTCTTGACTTCTCTATCACCCCGAATTGCAGTCTATACAGTTCTACAGAGTCTGCCTCCAAAACATATCTCAAATCCTTCCCCCCTCCCACCCCGCTATTTCTACTGCTATTAACCTAGTCCAAGCTATCGTCATCCCATTTCTGAGCTACCACTGGCCTCCAGGCTGGTTTCCCCACTTTCTCTCTCACTTCCCTCCTACCCATTATCCACAGAGCAGCGTGCCATTCCACTCCCAGATGGCTGACTGGGCCCTGGAAATTGGGTCACTGCCTACCTCTCCGACCTTGTCTCAATCCACCACCACCCATCCACCCCCACCCCGACTCACTATGAGCCACACTGGCCTTTTCAATTCCCCTTTTCAGCGCTTTGCTGCCTCGGGCCTTCGCATTTCCTGGTCCTTCTGCTTGGAACACTCTTAACCCCACTCATCACCTCCTGGCTCCTTCTCATTCTTCAGTTAAACTCTCATTTCAAATGTTACTTCTGAGAGGCCTTCCCTAATCACCCAGCTTAACTCTTCCCCCAGAAGTCACCCTTCACCACATCTTCCGGGCAGTTTACCCTGGAGTAACTCTATTCTATCTTTAGTGTTGGTTTCCTCCCGCACTAGATAAAAATCTGTCTTGTTCACTGCTACATCCTCAACACCTAGAACTGTGACTACCCTAAAGACTCAAAAAAGTTTGTTGAATAAATGAATGAATGAATGAACTACCAAATGAATAAACATGGAGTAGAAGTAAAGGTGGTATATATGGAAGAGAGAAAGAACTAAACAAATGCAGATCAGGTGGTATGAAGCAGGAGCAAAGGTAGGGTAATATGAACTCAACTTGTCGATTTTCCAGCACAATGCCAAGCACATAGTAAATGCTCAGTAAGTATTTATGCAGTGAACTGAGTGATGAGTTGCCAGGACAGAGTAGGAAGAGCCACTGGTGAAACGTCTTGAATGCTAAAACAAAAATCCTATGGACAACAAGGTCCTACTGTATAGCACAGGGAACTATATTCAATAAGCTGGAATAAACCATAATGGAAAAGAATATAAAAAAGAATGTATATATTTGTATAACTGAGTCACTTTGCTGTACAGCAGAAATTAACACAACACTGTAAATCAACTATACTTCAATTAAAAAAAAAAAAAAAAAAAAAGGAAGGAAAAAAAGAACCTGAGGCGGACCAGACTGGGAGTCCCTTAAGATTAGACACTGTCTCCTTCCGGGCTCCCAGGAGACCCTCCTCTCACCTTGAGCTCGATGGCATTGATGAGCTTGCCACACTTGTCACACTGGTCACCCCGGGCCTCCTCATAGCCACAGAAGGGACACATGCCCTCCACAAAGCGGTCAGCCAGGAAGCGGGCACAGTGCTCACACCGCAGTTGCTCCACAGTATCTTGCAGCACAAAACCTCGGGCCACCAACCGCTGGAAGATATCCTGGGTAATTCTGATGAGGTGAGCAAGGGACAGGGGAGGGGTGGACCGGGGGAAGTCAAAGGAAGTGGTGCGCCCCTCCCTCCTGCCACTCCACCCAGGATCCAAACCCATTCAGTCCAAGAGCCAAAGAAATCAGTCAGAGACCACTCAGTCATCTGCAGGGAGTTTACTGACGAGCCCAAACACCTCACATCAATTGCCCAACTCCCCACACGATCTCTTTCCTCACCGCTCTAGAATTTACTTTTGTAAAATACAGATCTGTTTTGTATTCTTCAATAACAAAAGTCTCCAAAAGGATAATAGGACTGTTTAGTTCTTTGATATGTCCTAAAAATTAAAATTAAATCAGAGTGCTGCTAAACTGCACAGCACTCTCAGCTGGCAGCCTGTCTACTATGCAGTTTTTATAAGGACGATAATCAGGCAGAGGAAAATGAGTGTATTTGCTATAAACACAGGAGTGAGAGGGGCTGTCCTGAGACAGTGGCGGCCAGGAAGAGAAGGGAGGCGGTAGAGGGAAGGCAGGTCCTTCCCGTGAGCCTACGTCCTGTCTCTTCCCTCCCTCAGCTGCACCTTCAGCCCTGGTCAGGCTTCTGCACACAATGAATCCCCGTAATAATGCCTGGGACACATTTCAGGACAATATCTGGATGTTTGGGGGTGGGGGACGGGGAACAATCTTGGTTCCTTCTTTCTGTCTCCTAGATATTCCCACTGCTCCCACTCTCCATTTCTGCCTGATTAGAGGAAACCTACTTGGTCTGCTGCGGAGTGGTTGTCCGACCAAAAATGTCAAACGAGATATTAAACCAGCGGTAGATGTCGGCGTGGATAACATGGTACTTGTCACAGATCTCCTGGGGGGTTAGGCCCTCCTCCATAGCCTTGGTCTCTGTCGCTGTACCATACTCATCTGTCCCACACAGATAGAGGGTGTTCCACTGGCGGAGCCGGGAGTACCTGGGAAGGAATGTGGTGATCATGAGGCCCCATCTCAGCCCCTCCCATGTACCCAGGATCCCTCCAGCTTCCCCCCTTGAGGCCTCCTATTCCCTTGGGGCCCACTGCTCCCTCAGGGCTTTCCCCCAGCAGCTGGCTCCACCTGGCAAAGACGTCAGCACTGAGCACGCAACCGATGATGTTTCCAAGATGGGGGACATTGTTGACATAAGGGAGGGCGCTGGTGATGAGCACATTCTTCTCCCCAGCCACAGGCAACCTGGTAGGGAAGAGAACAGTCCAGGGGGGAGAAGAGAGGGTCAAGAGGGACCCAAAGTGCACAGAACACCCAGATGCATCTGTTCTACTGTAACAGGCTCACGTCCGTCTGAAGTCTTTCCTCACATGAATCCACTGGAGCATAAACTCCCCCAAAAGCCATGAGATCCCTACGGTTGCAAATACGGGGCCCTGCCCACAGCAAGCAAGCCTCGTGTACTGCTCCTAAGAAGCCTCGTTCTGACACTGAGCTCTGTCTCTCTTTACTACCCTAAGTACTCCTTTTCCTTTAGCTCATCCCCAGGCTCCAAACTCTGGGGTATTGACAACTCTCCCCAGGATCTGTCCAACCACCATCATTTGCTGACTTCCTAGACGCCAGTGCCACCCAAAAACGCTTTCCCAGCACTGACCTCTTCCCTTCTTTCCAAGTGCTATGTTAACATTACCTCTACTCACTCCCTGAAATGTTTACAGCTCGCCAGCCCATATACAAGCCTTCCCAAGTCCTCTCATATCCCTTGACTCTTCCCTCCCTAACCCGTATCTGTCACTTCCTCACGGCCTGACTCAAACCAGCAGGAACCAGCCATTGCCTTCACAGCCACCCTCTCCTCCCCACTTTCCCAGGATCATTCCTAGTCATGTCACTCAATCTGCTGTCGGAAGTCACTCAGCCTGCTCTTCTCTTTTCATGCTTCATCACCAGTGAAAGCTCAGCTGCACACATCTTGTATTCACCCCCCTCCCGGCACTGACACCTCACCAGGTTTCCTTTCATCTTTCCAACCATTCTTTTCTTTTTTCAGTTTTAGTATCTTTTTTTATTGAAGTATAGTTGATTTACAATGTTGCGTTACTTCCAACCATTCTTAATCTACAATTGCTGACTACCATCACTTACCATGTCCTTCAACCCTGGGCATCCTGCGAGCTCACCAAGTCCCATAATCTCTTCTGCTAATAGAGACTCCAATGATTCCCTCATGTTAACCTTACCCTTCTTCCCAGCTGCATGCTATATATCCAGTTAGATGTTCCATCTACTTCCTGGAGCATTTTACAGCTCATTTCCTTGAGAAAGATCTCACTGTTTTCTCCTGGATTAATTGACTTTTCTCCCCATGACTGAACACCATAGTTTTCTCTGAAATCCAGCTTAGAAATCAGCTCCTTCAGGAAAGCCTTTCTTTACTGGCAACCGGCCTTCCACCCAGTCATCCTTGTATCCCAAGTCCATAAGCATCTTGTACCACACATTCTGTGGTGCTCCTTTTGTGTCACCTTGTAACGTCTCTCGCATCTTGAGTGTGCTTACTACGGTGGCAGATATGCACCACCACAGAGTACGCCCAGGGTTCTGCCCTCAAGAGGGTTACGTTCTATCAGACAACTTCTAACTGGATCAGTGCGATGAGGGGTACAAAGTGCCCAAGGAGCTCGAAGGAAGGCAAGTATCTCCAGCCTAAGACTAAGACTTCACAGAGGCAGAACTACTTGAGTTGGCCCTCGAGAATGGGTGGGAATTTGCCTGATCAAGACACTGGGGATGCTCCGTATAATTTCTTACAACTGCATGTGAATCTACAATTACCTCAAAATAAAAAGTTTAATTTTTAAAAAAATTAAAAAAAAAAAAGACACTGGGGATGTCCTTCGGTCAGAAGGAAAAGCACAGAAGATAGCCTGGTTTGGCTCTAGGGTCTTTAGTCAATTGTCTCCTCCTCTAAGTACACAGTTAAACATGTTAGCCTGTATAAACACCTGAGAAAAATCTATCTCCTATTCTTTATTACCTCTAAAACAATCCTCAACAGGTACTCAAAAGAAATACTCAAAATCAGTGAATGAACAAACTTTCATTAATTCATTCAAATTTTATCATAATCTACCAAATGCTTGGCCCTGTGCTAGAAAATGTGTACCATAAAAGAAGACAGAGGCCCTGCCTTCAATAAGCTTACAGATTAGCGAGGAGACAGACATGTAAAGAGACAATTATAGGGCTTCCCTGGTGGCACAGTGGTTAAGAATCCGCCTGCCAATGCAGGAGACACAGGTTTGAGCCCTGTCCCAGGAAGATCCCACATGCCGCGGAGCAACTAAGCCCATACACCACAACTACTGATCCTGGGCTCTAGTCTAGAGCCCATGCGCCGCAACTACTGAAGCCTGCGTGCCTAGAGCCCGTGCTCCACAACAAGAGAAGCCGCCGCAATGAGAAGCCCGCGCACCGCAATGAAGAGCCGCCCCCGCTCGCCACAACTAGAAGAAAGCCTGCGTGCAGCAATGAAGACCCGACGCAGCCAAAAATTAAAAAAAAAAAAAAAGTTTAAAGAGAGACAATTACAACATAATATGACGATGGAAGCTCCCAGAAGATGAAGCACTTAAGACTCTCACAAGCTCTACAGAGAAAGAAATGATAGAACTGGTCTCTTGGACAACTGTACAGCAGGTAGGTAAGATGCAGGCATTCCAGGGAGAAGGAAGGGCATGGGCAAAGACACCAAGGTGTGAGAGTATATGATCTCAGCCTGCCTTCCTCTTAAAACTCATCTTGACCCAACTGCCCCTTGACTGACCAGCCTCCAGCCACTAGCCTTTTAGAAATTCCTTATAAAGAACCAAACACGATGCTTGCTCTATCTGAGACACCCTTCCCCCAGACTTACCCTTGCCTAACTCTACTCATCTTGCAAGTCTTAGTTCCCTATTTTTTTTTTTTGGCCATGCTGCGCGGCTTTCGGGATCTTAGTTTCCCACCCGGGGACTGAACCTGGGACCTCAGCAGTGAAAGCGTGGAGTCCTAACCACTGAACCACCAGGGAATTCCTGCAAGTCTTAGGTCAAATGCCATTTTTCTAAGTTAATCTCCTGTGATATTTTCTCATAGCATCCTGTTCTTTTCCTTCATAGTACTTACCAAAATTTATAATTATACCTTTGTGTGACAGGTTTTATTTAACTTTTAATTTTATATTGGAGTATAGTTGATTAACAACGTTGTGTTAGTTTCATGAGTGACAGTTTTTTTTAAACACCTGACTATACCACTAGACTCAAAGTGGTACGAGAGCACAGTCTTATCTGTTTCGTTCCCCTCTGTAGACCCAGTTCCCAGCACACAGGGCCTGACAAGGAGTGGACACTTAAATCTTTATTGAACAACATGTTCAGAACTACAGACATTTCATTTCAACGGAAAAATCTATGTATGTGTGTGAATATTATCTTAGCTATCAGGAGAGTAACAGAATATGATGCTAAGCATGTAGGCAGGGGCCAGATCATGAAAGGCCTTGTGAACTACACAGAGAGACCATCTGTAGAATTCTGAAAAGGAAGGTGAGATGATAACATAGGCAGTTTTAAGCAGCCATTCTGGTGGCAGTGTGGAGCACGGGATGGCATGGAAGGAGAAGGTTAAGAGATGGTGAGGCCCAATCTCAGGTAGCAGCAGTGAGGACAGGGAGAAGGGATGGATACTAGGACTCTTTAGGAGTTAGAATCAATAACCTGGTAATGGAACAAATGATACAAGCAGAGATGAGAGAAGGGTATAGATAGATGACACCAAGATTTCTGGCCTGGATTTTTAGGTGGAAGGTGGGAGTCATTCACTAAGACAAGTGAATGAAGGAGAAGGAAAGGCTGGCAGGGAAGGTAATAGGTTTGGTTTTGTACACGTTGAGTTTGCAATGCCAGTGGAGGTGGAGGAATCTAGGAGATAGTCTGACAACTATGTCTGGAGCTCAGAATAGAGATGTGAACTGGAAAAAACAGATTTAGGTGCAATCAGTAGACAGAAAGTAGCTGAAAACATGGGTGCAGATGGGACTGATGGACAGTATATCCAAAGTATTAGCCAAGAGGTTGAGAGAGCAGAAAATCAAAGGTCAGCAAAGAGAATTCGACAGGCAGGTATTGGCTCTATCAACAATTTCCATGTAAGAAACCAAGCCCCACTCATGTGTGCCTACTCACACTGGATTCTGCTGTGGCTGAACAGGGGGCAAGCTTTCCAGGCCCTTCTCCCAAGCAGCTACAGCCATGGCAATCTCCTCCTCAGATAGGGTAGCCAGCTCCTCCTCCTATGAAGAGTGGACAGTATCCCTCACCAGGTGAGGGGGGGGGTGCGTAGAGTAAAGAACTCTTCTCCTTGCTCTCCATAAACTGAAAAAGTTAGCAGTCATGCTCAAAGTCCCTCTCCAAGCCACCCACCACCTCACGCACTGAGGCTCTGTGGGGACCCCTCTGCTCTGTTCCAAACCTCAGGCTCATTGCTGACAGCCCTCCCCTCAAGGAAGCTGGGCTGGGGCTGCTTTTGGAGGTAGGGCCGGAGGGCCAGGACACCCTGCTGCTTCAGCACAGTCTCTGCAGCTCGCTGACATGGCTCCTGAGAACTCAGTGTCTGGAACCAGCTGTGCAGGGCACCCAGCTCCTCTGTGGCATGGAAGAAAAGAGGCAATCAGTAAGACCGAGAATGGGCAGGCGGGAAGGGACCTCCTCCCCTTCTTCACAAAGTTTCTCCAGCTGCCTTTCCCAGTTCCCTCAGCCATCTTTCTGCTATAGCTGCCCTGTCAAGCTACACATCAAAATGGGTCCTCAATATTCTATTGCCCACTCTGTAACCCCTACACCAAGCTCCTGGGGTTGGGGCTGGTGGAGAAGTGATATGCACAGTTCTCACCAGGGAGGTATGCCGGGTCTTGGAGTAATGGATATAGCGCTCCCCACAAAACAATGTCAGCTAGAGATTCTGTCTCCTTTGTTGAGGAAAGAAAGGAAGAAGTACACAGGTGAGACACTCAGGTTCTTCCCAATTGACATAACAGTATCGTACATTTCCTAAGCGCTTACTATGTGTCAAGCACCGTGATAAGCATTTTAAATTACCTCTCTTAATCTTCACAATAACCCACTAAGGCGGACAGTAATACATTACCCTCACTTCAAAGGTGAAAAAAATGAAGTTTAAAGAGTTTTTGTGAGTTTTAAAGTTTACACTGCTAGTAAGTGGCAGTTTGGAAGTTCTGAACTCTGAATACAGTCTTCCCTCTTAATTCATATATCATACAGCTTTTCCCAGTACCCATCTCAAGGCCCAACTCACCCCAGCCAGGAACGGACAGCTCCGACGACTCAAGCTGTGGTCTATATGAGTCAGGGCTCTCCGGACCGGGCTAAAAACATCTTCTCCCTTCTTCCCTTGGACCACTAAATAGTACAGGGCAGCGGACAAAGCTGGCTAAAATGCAGGAGACACGGGTCAGGGCAGCCATGCAGAGCAAGAGCCTGCCTGCCATTCCCCACATCTCAGTCCTACCTGCAGCTCTGTCGCTTCCCATTCCAGCCACTGGTTGGTGAGGTCATCTTGCTCCCAGCCAGATAACAGAAAGAAGTATCTACCCAGGAAGAGAGCAACAGAGGTAGAATTAAAGGGGCCCATTTGTCTAGCCCATTTCTCACCCCCCAGTGAAACAGTGGTTGTAAAAAAGGCTACCCAGAGGACAATAATCCCTGATTCTATTCAGCCACCTCCCTGCATCAAGAACCAGTACTGACCGACAGATTGCACTGGTGGAGAAGAGGTAGTTGCCACTATCCAGTTGCAAGACAGGAACCTTAGGCCGGGTCAGGAACGGGACCACACACTCTGACCCGGAAGAGGAAGATGGGTGAAAAACAGAGAAAAGAAAAGAAATGCTTTGTCAACTTAGAGGAACAACTTCACGGGGGGGGGGGGGGGGGGGGGGGGGGGGCAGTCTCACGGAGAGGGTCCAGGATAGGAGCACTGAAAGGGGGTGGGTCCAGAATGAACTGGAGAGACCAGCAGGTGTTCAGCTGAGACGGCCAGCTGGAAACAACAGATGGGGACTGCAAGCGAGGAGGTGGTGGTACTGGGGTAGTGCTGCAGCCAAGAAGTGGAACAACTGAAAGTAATCAGGATATCTGAGAATGATCTGAGCTACAGTGGGAGAACAAAATTAAGAGAACTGGGAGGATTGACAAGAGAACCGCTTAAGAGTCACCCAAACAGATGGCTGGGAATGAGAAGAGGTAAACCGAAGAGAGTATGTGTGTCTCTGTGTGCTCAGGAGAGGAAAGCAGAGTTTCCTAAGAACGACAAAGGAGAACCTGGTGGTTATCATGTGAGTGACGTGTGGTGGTGGGGTTGCCTGATAGGGGTGGGAGAAGGCTGGAAAAGGGAAAGAGGTTCACTGGAGTGAGGCGAGGTCCTGGAAGAGGAAGGAGGGGAGGCAAGAGAAGGGTACACTGAGGGTAATTAAGGGAAGTGACGGATGAAAGGTACGACTGGGAAGAAAGAGGGGATGGGGCGCCCAAGGAGAATGCGGTAGAAGGTTGACGGGAGTGCGTGACGGGGGCGGAGTTGACGAAGACAACTGTAGGGTGGTCGTCGGCGTGTTTTCAGTCCCGCCCGGCTCATCCACCGCCCACCAGCACCAGCAGACTACCTTCCGGGCCTACAGTGCTGATAAGCAGCTCCGCTCTGCCCTGGGCCCTCCCGGCCGCGGCCAGCACGGGCAGGCTCCCCGGGGCGCCCTCGCTCACGAACAACCTCATTTCGCCGCGGATCCCACGCTGATGCAACCGGAACCGGTCTCCCGCCAGTGGGATGAGCGACCGCCGCGAAGCACGCCGGGAAATGGAGTTCCGAATGTGGCCTTTCCCCCGGCCAGACTCCCGGAAAGTAGACTACTTCTCCCATCATGCAACACTAGGAAACAGGAAAAGAGTGTCATAGAGACGAAGAGGCAGTAGATGCTGTGCCAGAGCAGCACTTTTTTGGTGGGAGGGCCGAGGAGACCTTACCGTGTGGGGCTCGGCGCGCTTTATTCCTGTAACGCAGCCCAAGGGCGGTGACGGAAACCGAGGCCCCCAGTCATCTTGCTGAAGTGGCGATGTCATGGTAGCGGCTATTCGCAATGGCTGACTCTTGATTCGAGTTCATAAGAATCAGAGTTTTAGAGTTGAGTTATGATAAACTTACGTTAGTGGCACAATAAAAATTAGGGTACATATCCTATTAACAAAAAAGAATGTGACTATTAAATATTAATTTAATACCATTCTAAAGCGCATATGCAGCCAATCTCATTTAAAGGGAAGGGAGCGTGTAAAGGAAAAAGGTAAGTTGAGGCGGAGTAAGAAGGCTAAGAGTTTGTCAATAAGTATACGTTATTCAAGGAAGCACGTGTCAGTAATTGAGAAAGGGACCCTTCTTAATCATCTTTGTATACCTTTAAGATTAATTAATACCTAATTGTACTTATGAGCTGAGGTACAGTGAGGTTACTTTGTGCTATACAATGCATTGAAGATACGATTATTCACAAAATAGATATAGGCTTCTGCCTTAGCGGAGCTCACAGACTTCCTGGGAAGTCAGAAAGTCAAATAACCTTTAACGTGTCATGAAAGTTATAATGTGGGAATGTGAAGTCTGCTGTAGGGTCTCCTAGTTAGGACCCCTACCCGACTCTAAGGGGTTAAGAGAGGCCTTCTTGTGCAAATGGCCTTTCAACTGAGATCAGCTGATGAGAATGAGTTAGCCTGGTGGAGGTTGGTAGGAGTGGGGAAAGGAAGTGTTTCAGGCAGAGGAAACAACTTATGCAAAGGACCAGAGACCTCAGTGCTGTTTAGGAATGTGAGGAAGTAGTGTGTGGCTGGAGTATGGAGTTTGTGGTGGGGAGTGTGAAAACACTGGGCTGAAAGGAGAAAGTCTCTGTAAACCACACTGTAAAATTTGGACTTTACTCTGAGGAAAATGGGAAGCCTTTGAATGGTTAAGTCAGGGGAGTGGCAGGCCATTTTTATGTTTTAGAAGCATCACTCTGGCTGCTGTGCCAGGAATGGACTGGAGAGGAGTAGAACTATATGCAAGGAGACTAGTTCAAAAGTCATATTATCTGGGCTGAGAAGGGCGGTAGTTGTAGGGATTAAAGGAAGTAGACAGGTTGGAAAGATTTAGTAATCAATTAAATGTGAGTGGTGAGGAAACAAGAGGAATTAAGGTTGGCTGCCAGGTTTCTGGCATGGGCAATTGGGTACATCCTCTATGTACTCCAACAGATGGTAGTATTTCCCCTATCAGTGATTATCACACTGTATTTTAATTGTTATGAGAGGGCATCTTTTTTTTTTTTTTTTGGCTGCGCCGAAAAATGAGAAATCTTAGCTCCCAAACCAGGGATGGAACCCATGGCCCCTGCAGTGGAAGAGCTGAGTCCTAACCACTGGACCGCCAGGGAACTCCCCAAGAGAGGGCATCTTAATTGACAATGCCTAGCACATGGTCCTTGCCCTGGCACGTATGGTAGTAAGCATTCAATAAATATTTATAAATTTAAATTTAACTTGGCAGTTCCCTGGTGGCCTAGATTTTAGGATTCCGGGCTTTCACTGCCATGGCCCGGGTTCAGTCCCTGGTTGGGGAACTGAGATCCGTCAAGCAGCATGGTGCAGCCAAAAAAGAAAATAAATAAATAGGGACTTCCCTGATGGCACAGTGGTTAAGAATCTACCTGCCAATGCAGGGGACATGGGTCCGAGCCCTGGTTCGGGAAGATCCCACATGCTGCGGAGCAACTAAGCCCGTGTGCCACAACTACTGAGCCTGCGCTCTAGAGCCCGCAAGCCACAACTACTGAAGCCTGCGTGCCTAGAGCCCATGCTCCACAACAAAGAGAAGCCACTGCAATGATAAGCCTGTGCACTGCAACAAAGACCCAACGCAGCCAAAAATAAATAAGTATATTTAACTTAATAGTTGTACTAGAATAGAAACAGATTTGGGGGGGAAGCTTGACAAGTTCAGTTCAGAACATACTATGTTTGTAGTACCTATGAAAAACCCAAGTGGAGTTTTTCAGTGGACAATGGATTAGACTGGAGCTCCAGAGAAAGATCTGGACCAGAGATATGGTGCCAGCAACGTATGGAGGTCATTTGAGCTGGGGAGAGAATAAGATCACCTATGGTGTATAGAATGCAAAGGGTACAGGATCTCAGACAGACTTCTGGAGTTTAAGAAGCAAGCAAAGTCCTACCTTATGCAACAGAGAAGGAACTGCTGAAAAGGTCAACTGTGTTGGCTGTTGCTGAGATGTCAAGCAACATAAGGACTGCAGAGTGTCCCTGCAAAGTTAGGGGTGACCCTATGAGGAGTGAGCTTGCAAAGGTGAGGGAGTGAGGGGAAAGGAAATGGAGACCCCCATTTAGGCAACTTTCTCAAGAAGTTTGACTGTAAGAAGGAAGACAGAGATAGGGTGGAGAGTACAGTAAAAGGAAGTTCGTCTAAAGATGGGAGAGACTTGGATATGTTTAAAAGCTAACGGAAAGGAGCCAATAAAGAGGAAAAGGATAAAGTGCAGGAGAGATGGCAGAGAAGGCAGAAGAGGATGAGATTTGAGCACTTAACAACCACCAGATGAATGGATAAATGAATAAAGTTGGTCACTATTTTGGAAGTGGAAAGGGAGAGTTGAGAGGTAAGGTTCTCCACAAGTTGAAAACAGAGCAAACTAAGGAAGACATCACTGAGACAGAATCCCAATACCAGCAGCCCGGGCCTCAAGGCCTCAAATCATGTGTCGCGAGGAGAGCTGGCTCTCTGATGTCACCAAGGGGGTGGGGCACTCCCTACCCAACATCTCCAAAGCCAGACAGAAATCCTCACATCTCGCAGTGGAGAGACTGAGAGAAGGGGAAAAGAGGCGTGGTCAGGTAAGGAGGAAGCACAGGCGTGGGGTTTAAAGCTCTGGCAACCGACAGCGGAGGTCCGTTCCCACCTTCCACCAGGGAGAAGCTAACATTAGTCCCCCATTCACCCCCATAAGCTGTCAAAGCATCCTGTACTACTTGTCCATAGTCTCTGATTCAATTGTAATTAATAAATTTATTATGTCATCAGTTAAGATCTGTCTTTAAGCTTCAAGAAGGCAAGGGCTATGTCTATCTCCTTCCCTTCTCTTATCTCCAGTAGCTGACACTGTTCTTTTCACGCAGGAGGTGCTCAGCCAATCCTTGTTAAGAGCATGAATGAATGAACCCACACACTAAAGTATGGTCCCACCCAAGAGGCTTATGTACAGAGGATCATATCAAGGCTGCTCAGCTCCCCAAAACACAACCTAAATTGAGAGGATGGTATTTTCACCTCTTCCTCAAACTCGGAACCCCTCTGCGTTTCTCGCAGCCACTTTCTCTTTCTCTCCAACTTGGTCTTAGTATTTCTCTGGCACTCTTTCTCTGTCTTTGTGTTTTTCTGAATCTGCACAGGAAGCACGCAGTTTTAGGTCTGAGGTGATTGGCAATAGAAACATTGGTGCTTGTGTAAATTTAATAAAGAGTCACACATTTTTGTATCTTTGTCATTCATTAACTCCTGTCTCTTTGCCTGTGTTCTGTCTCAGACCTGATTCTTTCTCCTCATCTCCTTGTGTCCAGCTCAAGAGTCCCACCACCACCCAGGACCAGCTCCTCTTGTCCCTGGATCTTCTGATTGGCCCCAGAAGGTACTTGGAGGAAAATCACCCAGCTAGACCCCCTCCTCTGATTTCCTGCCTTGCTGGTCTCGAAGCCCTGCTGACCACATCCTCTCTCACCTTACTTACATACTTCCTCATTAGTCACATCAGCCAGGACTTCTCAGCCCCCAAAACCTCTTACTGACCCCCACTCAGGCCCTCTGCCTTACCCTCTCCTCTTACCCCAGGCTTTCTATTCTTCCCCTCTACCCCACACTGCTCTTAGAACCATGTCTCTCTGCCTGCAAGCAGCCACTCCTATCCTTTTCTGGATCTCCCTCACCCCTTTTTCCCATAGGTGACAGTACCGGCGACAATGCTATCGAGCGGGTGGTGGCCAAGTACCCGGGGAAACCTAGGGCTGGGGACCCGGAGCGCTTCTCAGGGATCCCAGCTCTGTGCCCTGTATGCCTTCACTTACACTGGGGCAGATGGCCGGCAGGTGTCTCTGGCTGAAGGGGACAGGTTCCTATTGCTTCAAAAGACCAACTCAGACTGGTGGTTGGTAAGGCGCCTGGGAACACCCTCCACCTCTCGCCCCATCTTCATCCCAGCTGCCTACATGACAGAGGACTTCAGCCCTTCCCAGAGCCCAACAACAATCACCCCCCGCCAATCCCTCTGGACTCCTGGTGAGTAAGTCCTCCCCCGTCACCTTCCTACCTCCCTGGCTTCTGGGAATTATTGGAAAGATCCCCTTCCCCGAAGCTTTTGCTAATCCTCTACTCCTACCCCTCATCCCCACCATGGTGTCCCTATCGCCTCTCCTTCCTAGTCTCAAGCCTTCTACATCTCATGTAATTTTCTACCTGCTCTTGTCTTCCCTGTGAGCCCCCAGGATCAGGGACCCAGCCAAGACCCATGGGGGGACCCTGCCCCCAACTCTTCTCATTTTTCTGTTTCCAGGGCCAAAGTTACTTCCTGGCTCCCTGGAGGAGATGCACCTGTGTCAGGAAACCCCAGGCAGAGCCCAGGCTACGTCTGAGCAGCCTCCTCCTCTTCCCCCTAAAATGTGTAGAAGTATCAGTGTTAGCAACTTGAGGCCAAGCCTCCTGAAGCCCTTCCAGGAAGGACCAAGTAGAAGATCCCTTTCCCAGGAAGACTTGCTGACAGAAGCCGATGCGAACATGGTGAGTCATAGTGCTTCTTCTGAGCAGTCAGTTACTGCTGGGCTGTTGTAGGCACATTAGCAAACAGGACAGACAGAATCTCTGCCCTCAAGGGATTCCCATGGGGATGATGAACACATAAATAAGATAGCCCTTGGTACTAATAAGCACTACCATGAAGCTAAATGTGGTGGAGGATGAATGCAGTGGTCTAGGAATGCATCTCTGAGGAAATGACATTTAGTTGAATCTGAATAAGGAGAGACAGCCCTGAAACAAATGAGGAGATGAGAAGGAATTCTAGCTGAGGGACAGCAAGTAGCAAAGATCCTGAGGGTACGTGGAACCTGCAAAATGATAGAGGGACTGAAAGGCCAGCTTAGCTTTGCTTTTGTCTCTCAGCCTCTTGACTCCTGGCCCAGGGCAGGGTTTTTTGCTGTGTCCTGTCTTGCTAGCTCAGGTCACCAGCAAGTTTCCTCTAGAGATGGAACTCCCTTGATCTTCCTGAAGATTCAGCCCCTCCCCTCTCTCTTACTTACTAGTGGGTGAAAAATGGCCCCTCCTCTCTCACACTCCGCTAGCAGGGGCCTCTGACCCCCTCTCTGTCTCCTTTTACTCTGGAGGATGTGAGGGTGGGACGCTCCTCTCGACCCCTCCCTCCATACACACGGAAAGCCTGTTCCCCTTTCCTGAGGTCCTCTGGTGGGGGTGGGGTGGGGGAGGAGGGAAGTTGGCAACAGGAAGTGAGGAGAAAAGCAAAGACTGTGAGGGAGGGAGTCAAAAAAAAAAAAAAAACCAGAAAAAAAACAGCTGCAGGCGACTAGGGTTTCTTCCTCAGTACCTGGGTCACCCCAGCCAGGAGGTGGTGGTGAGAAAATGGTGGGGGAGAGAGGAGGAGATGGTTAGGAGAGAGAAGATCGGGGAGGGGAACAGGTAGAATAACTACCTCTTTCTTCCCCCTTTCCTTGCAGGCAAGACCCCAGACCTTCATGTCAGAGCCCCCTGTGTACTGCAACCTGGTGGACCTTCGCCGCTGTCCCCGGTCCCCACCCACAAGCCCTGCATGTCCCCCGCTGCAGAGGCTGGACGCCTGGGAGCAGCACTTGGACCCCAACTTTGGACGCTGCTTCTACATAAATTCGCTGACTGGCTGCAAATCCTGGAAGCCTCCACGCCACACTCGTACCCGAGAGATGGTGAGACCTTCCCTCCTGCTTGTCCCTTGTCCCTTCAATCTCCTTCTTTCCCCTACTGATCCCCAAAGTAGTATGTTTTCTCACTGGGACTCTCAGAAGATCAGACAAATCAAAAAATTGTTAAGAAGGGTGTCGAGAGCCTATTGAGGTGGCATCTGGATGGAGTTTTGCCTTTCCCTCTCGCCAGAACCCTGGCTCCATGGAGGGGCCACAGACCATGAATAAGGACAACGGTGTCCTGCAACCTCAGGCAAAGGACTCAGAATCTGGCACAGGGATGCCAGGACTTTTCGACTCCCAGGTGAGATCCCCCCCCCCTCCTGGTCACATGCAGGAAAAGCCATCGTTTTAGACTTTCTCTTTTATGCAAGACATTCTTCTTCAGTACCCCACCACACCCCCTGACTCACACCCCCACATCCGCACCCCTCTTCCCCCTACAGCCAGGGACTCCGAAGTTAAAGTTTCCTCCACCTGTTTCTCCAATCCCCTCCCCCAGGGTTCACCCTCCCTCTGCAGACTCGCCTCCCAGCTCGACCCCTCAGACCAGCCTTCAGCTCTGCAGT